AGCAGGGGCACCCTGCTACTGCAGTCTCCTCGGGCTGGCACAGTGCTGGGACTTTTCCTGCCCCTCATCCTGCACTGACCCTCTTGTCCTCTACCACAGGAGCAGATGAAGAGATGGAAGATGTGCTGCAAGATGTGGGTCTCCGCAGTGTGAGTATAGGGCTCATGGTCCTAAGGAGATGCAGGGGGAACTCAACTGTGCCAAACCCTGCTTGTCACATCAGCTGCAGCTCTGCCCAAGAGGCCAGCAGCAACATCGGGCATGCACCAGCTGCTTGGAGCGGTGTGTCAGGTTGTCTGGTACAGAGATGTGCTATCTGGATGGTCTGTGGGTGCCCATGGGAGGAAGGAGGAGGTTGGGGGTCCATGGGAGGGCAGAACTTTCAGGACAAGCCAGCTGCAGGGTTCCTGCTGCCTTTTTCTGCAGAAGAAAAGCCAGAAGCGTCGGTTCAGAGAGGAGCCAGATGATGAGGAAGCTGAGGCTGGAACTTACTCTCGGTACAGAGGTAAGTTCTCTGCCCCAGACATACCCATCTTGCTGGGCTGCTCCAGGGCATCTGGAGCAAAGATCACAGAATCACAGACTGTGTAAGGCTGGAAGGAACCACAGTGTGTCTTCTGGTCCAAGCTCCCTGCTCAAGCAGGGTCACCCTAGAGCACATTGCACAGGATTGTGTCTTCATGGTTCTGGAATATCTCTGCTGAGTGAGACTCTGCAGCCTCTATGGGCAAGCTGTGCCAATGTGCAGTCATGTGCACAGTAAAGTTCTTCCTCATATTTAGGTGGAACTTCTATGCATCAGTTTCTGCCCACTGCCTCTTGTCTTACTGGTTTGCACCACTGAGAATATCCCCAGTCCCTTAACGATATTGATGACGTCCACTCTCAGTTGTCTCTTCTCAAGGCTGGACAGGCCCAACTCCCTCAGCCTTTCCACATAAGAGAGAGATGATCCAGGCCCTTAATCATCTGCTAGACTTGCTCCAGGAGCTCCATGTCTCTCTTGGAGTGAGGAGCTCAGAACTGGGTACAGCACTCTAGATGTATCCTCACTAGGGCTGAGCAGAGGGGCAGGATCACCTCCCCTGTCTTGCTGGCAATACTCTTCCTAATGCATCCCAGGATTCTGTTGGGCTTGGCACTCGGGGCACGCTGCTGCCTTGTGGACAGCTTGTTGTCCTCTGGGACCCCCAGGTCCTTCTCTGCAGAGCCACTTTACAGCAGGTCAACCCCCAGCTTGTACTGGTGCTTGAGGTTATTCTTCCCCAGGTGCAGGACCCTGCACTTGCCTGTATTGAATTTCAGACAGCTCTTCCCTGTCCATCTCTCTGGAGATCTTTGTAGGAGACAGCCTTCCCTCTCTGCTGTCCTCACAAGAGCTGGAGGCAAAAACAGGAAAAGCTCCCCCAGCCTGGAACTGGGCAGGGAGAACTCTGAGACACCCTTCCAACACACATTCCCTGTTTTCTAGCTGGAGGCTCTGGGATCCACCGGCAGCTGAACAAGGAGCCAGCCTTCGGTGCAGAGTACAGATCCAAGGTGAGGCACCCAGGGAGGTCTCAGAGTTTGGGTGGGGAGATGCCTGGGAATTTGCTGGAGCAGGAATAACCATTTGTTTGGAGTCTGGTCCAGTAGCAGTTCCTGGTCCAGTGGAGTTCCTGTCCTGCCCTTGCTGTAGGCAGTTCCTGCTCACTGCTCAAAGCAGGTGTCTGTAGCATCATCTGGGTAGGAAATCAGCTCCCAGGACCACGTGCTCATCTGGCACCCCACTGCAACACAGTTTTTGGGATGATGGGTGGCAGGTTTGCACCAGAACAGGACACATGCATCTCCCTTGGTGCTGCATCTTCTCCCATGTTGCTGTCTCCCACAGAAAGGCAAAGGTGATGTGAAGAAGAAGGGCCAGCTTGACCCCTATGCCTACATTCCCCTGAACAGAGCTAAACTCAACAGAAGGTGAGGCTAACTGGGAAGGGCACAGGGTTGGGAACAAGGCCAAACCTGGGTTTGATCCTGCTCTGTTTTTGTGGGTTTAGGAGCTCCGTGTCATCTTCTGTGCCACTCCTTGCAGAGCCTGGAGCACCCCTGTGTGTTAGATGTGCCCAGTGGCCACACTAATGCAGCTTCCTGCTCTTTCCTCCTTCCAGGAAGCGGGCAAAAATGCAGGGCCAGTTCAAGGGCCTGATGAAGGGAGCCCAGCGGGGAGCCAAGGCAGGCCGCAGGAACCGTCTGAAGGCCCAGCGCTCCTGAGGAGCCTCAGGTGCTTGGCCTGCTCCTACCCGAGGACAGACAACACCCTGTGGCCTCTGGGAGTCAGGGGATTTGTGAGTGGAGCAGCCAGGATTCCTCTACAGAAGGTGACCTGCATCTGTTTGAGACTCCCTGGGAAGCCACTCCATCATGTTATGGACTGATGACCCAAGCCCTGCCCTCCTGTGCCTGAAGTAAGGTGCCCGGTTGCCGTGTGTGTGTGTGTGTGTGTGTGTGAGAGAGACACCAAGTAATGTATAAAGAATTCTCTATATTGATAAATACCCACTGTTCCTACCCAGCCCAGATTCCTCCTCTCCTTCCCTTCAGAGCTGTGCACACCTGTGCTCTCCCTTCTACCACTGTAGCACCACATCCTGCAGGGCTCACAGCAGCATCAGCCTGGGACCTGGAGCTGGGGCCCTCTCTTCCACATTGGGCTTGTCTGGGAGCTGCCAGGAGCAGCTCTGTGGCACAGAGCAGTGGGGCAGTACCTGTGCCCCGTGCCCTCCTGGCACATGTGCAGTAGGGCTGAGTTGTGGAAGTGGCCAGAAAGCGGTGCCAGAGATGATGAAGTCCTTTGCTTACAACCAGTTTTCTTTAACAAACTATTTTGTGGTAGAATCATCTGCCCAAAATCATGGCCAGGGGATCTGTGCCATGGGGAAAGTGTCTGCCATTTGGCTGCCACTGGTTTCTGTCCTGCCTTAGCTTTTCCCATATCAGCTGTGCCTGATTGTGGGGCAGGAACAGTTTTCCTGCAAATTTCTTCAAACTGGCTGGAAAACTGCTATAACAAACCTTTGTGACTTGTCGTTTCCCTTACCCTCAAGAGCTGAGAGAAACCCTTTCCCCTGCTTTGACCATCTCCTGCCAGCTAGACCTGAGCAGCACAGATAATCCTGGACCTTTTCAGCTGTCCAGCCCTCTCATGTTGGCCTGAGCATCTGGTTTTGCCTAGTTACTTCTGCACTGGGCCCAAAAGATGGTGTTTGGCCAAAGCGTACTGAAGGGAATGGAGCTGAGGGTAGAGGATACAGGTCTCATTGCTCACACTGCACAGAACATGTTTGTGAATGTAGCTGGCTTTCCCTTCCTCTGCTATATTAGAAAGCCTTTAGCCCTTTGTCCTTTCCTACTGTGGCAGGTTACATGCTGGAATTGCAACGCTTCTCAGTTCTCTAAGAAGCTAAAAGGATTGTGCGTGTTCAGCCTCTTACTGCAGCCCTCTTTCTGGAGGCTGCAAATCCAGTTTTGTGGCTTTCTTACATGTTTTTGTTTAGTTTTTTTCCCCCAAGATCCTTTTAAGAGTCTGGGAATGGAGGAGCTTTTATACTGATAGTGGTCCTGTCTTGTCAGGAGTACTGTCCCCTTTGTGCTGTCCCACCCCATGCTCTCGCTTAGACCCTTGAGCCCCAGGACCATGTTGAGGTGCTGCTGCTCTAATCCTGCTGGAAGGGAGCTCACAGCATGGCTTACAGGACAGGCGTCCCCAGCAGCACTCCTGACCATGTTCAGTCAGTAGGAGCTACATCCTCCTTCCTCTGCTGCCTCCAGAGCCCAAAGACAGGAACAAGGAGGGGACAGGTAGCAGTCACTTTCTGAGCCCCACATCTGTAACCTGTGCCTCTAGGGCCACCAGAGCTATCTGTCTTCCTGTTTTCTCTTCCCTCCTCAGAGACAGGACCTGGAGAAGGCTGTAGCTAATTCAAGAGCTCCAGATTACTCTGTATTGTTCTTCATTTGCATGTTGTTGTTTAAATTAATGAAACAGAAGAGTTTCATTAGCACAGAGGATGGTGTTCACCTGAGTTGGTGTCCAGAGAACAGATTCTTCTGCAATATCTTGTTAATCAGTTAATTAATCATGTAATGCAATGGAAACCCTCGGAGAGGCGACATCACCCTGCCTGGGGAGGCTGGCTGCAAGTCAAGCCTATTCTCTACCAGCAGCTGTCCCTGGCAGGGAGCAGAGCTATGTGCTGGGGGACCACAGGAGCCTGAGCACAGCTCTGTTATGGGGCAGGGTAGGGTGAGGTGTGATGTGGGTCCTGCCTCCTGTAGTTACCAGCCACAAATATTTTGCAGTTACCCACAGAAGTACAAGATGGGGACCTGAAGTGATGCTTGGCTTTTGCTACTCAAGCTGGGAGGTGGCTGAAGGATATTTCTTCACCCATCAAGCCGTTAAACCATGCAATACCCCACAGGCTACAGTGTGCAGGAAATTGTACTAAGCACCCAGAGAAGCTGGCAGGACTAACAGGCTGCCCTCAGTGGCTGGGACAGTTGCAGATGCCTACCCTGAGTCCTAAGGCTTAAAATCAGGAAGATAAGAGAAACATCATCATTTCCTTACCCTGGAAACTGCCTACTTGGGTTGTGTCCACTGTGGCATGCCCCTGAGAGGGACAGATGTGCTTCATAAGCTGTGCCCACACAACTTCCTCCAAGCACCCAGCAGCACCTTTTGAGACTTCCCAGTTTAAATTCAGCACACATAGAGGTGGAGGGACAGGAAAACCCTCCTGGGACAGCAGTGTAAGAGAAACCTTAGTGTTTGTGCCAAAATGATTGACAGCACAGTAGTTTAGTGGTTTAAAATGCCAAGGGACTCCACCTGAAATCTAGTCAATTTAAAAAAAATCAGATTAATTCCTAGTGCCCTCAGCACTCTGATCTACAGTTTCACTTGTTTCTAAGAAGTTGTCCATCTTTCCTTGGTTGCTACCTGAACACTGCACAGGTAGCAAGTGTGCAGGGCCACAAAGACCCTGGCTCTGTGGGCAAGGCAGGTGGTGCTTCCAGCCACAAAGGTTGGGGGAAGGGAATAAAGCTGCTTTTCCCGTGTCTCTGTTTTCTGATTTCTTCATGATGGAGAGCAAAGACAGCTGAGATGTGAGCTGGGATTTATAGTATGACTCGTGCTTCTTGGAGCATCTTGCTGTGGGTTCTGCAGGCTTGGGCAGACCCTGCTGCATGGGTCACATCAGCCACGTTCCGAGATCCTCGTGACTTCTACTTTGCTGCTGAATACTGCGGCTCAGGGTGCACAAGAGTGTGAAAGACAGCGCTGCAAGGACTTCCAGGGCTCCGCACGTGCTGTGCACAGGCTCGGAGGTGCCGTTCGGGTCGCCGCTCCCAGCCGTGCCGCTCTCTGCCCACAGCGCCTGACC